TTCCATATCGAGCACAATTCTGAGTAGCCGGACACTGGCGTAAGTTTCAAATCCCAACGTTATTAGGGATTGCATTTATGTTGTGAAAAAAGCACTAGCACTTTTCTGTACCCGCTTCCTTTCAATATTCGGCCCTGAAGAATTCTAAAATATTAAAGCTGGAACCCTTAACATATTGACCATTTAACACTGATTATGGGGAACTTACAAATACATCAACATAGTATGTGTAAACGGTGGGTGAATTATTAGTTCAACAATACTATTAGATAGAATTATGGATGGTTTGATCACGTGGTCTGAGGTAAACAATAGTGCTATCTTTTACAMCATTTTGACTAAAATAAATAAATAAATAAACATCAAAATTCATTCTTAATTGTTAATTTGGCCTGTTATTCAACAATTTGTACATCCTCTAAAATTAACATCCTCTAAAATGAAATTTGTACATCATTTTACCTTTTTAGACAAGTTTGAATCACTTTAAAGTAGAATTCTTTCTAGCACAAAAAAAGTGTTTAGGAGCGGCCATCTTGAATTTACATATATTTTTGGGTTTCCTGTGTTGCCATATTTAGTATATTGACGTCAATATGACGCATACTTAGTTACAGTAGTCAAGAAAAAAAGATTTCTGTTGGGCAAGTTAGGGCAAGCCCTCTGACCTTTTTTACCTGGAAAATTGCAACTAAATTGTAAGTAGACTTTTTTCTAGTATCAAAATACCGTGCAATGTTGGGAATGCCCTCGTTTGGGCCAGATATTCACAACAGGTCAGTGTTACAGTTGATAGACACAGTTCGGGTCGCCATCTTCTCACGTGTGGTTTATTCTCTCACAATGACGTCATAAGTAAAACATAAATTAACATACATTATCATAATACTTCCTACATTACGTTTTTCTCGGTAATTCTTATATTTACTATAGTAAAATTGTCGATTGTTCATCGGGCCGTCAAAGCCATTGTTTTCAATTGTAATTAGTTAAGTTATTGTGTTTGGTTTATTAGTGAACCACACTCTCACACTCACATGAACGTAATACTGGAACATATGAATTCAAATTCAAATTCAAAGTCAAGTTTATTACATCCTTTTGCAGTTAAAACTGAATTACAGGAGTAGGTCATATTTACAAGAACTTCATAGTAACAAAATTATTAAATCGATCGGTTCTACMTTTCCTTACATGGTACGTAACAGCTGATCTTAGAGAATATTGAGAGTTAGAACTARTCTTTCTGCTAGATAACAATGGGAATAGTGCGCTATTAGGTTTTATACTATTAATAAATTTGTGGCATGCATGCTCACGGCGGTCTTCAAGGGAAATTAAACCGGCTTGTACCAGGGCTTGGTCATAGCTATACTTAGTATTAAATATGATGGGAAGGTCCCTTTTCTGGACTTTTTCCAGAGYAAGAGACAGATATTGCGGCAACTTGGAAAAAACCACTGAGGCGTACTCCAGAACCGACCGTATGAGAGAACAATAGATTGCAACAATGTCCCTCTCTGAAACCCCGCAAGACTTAAGTTTCCTGAGCACACATAACCTACGGTTCGCTTTCTTGATCACATAGTCGCAGTGTGTAACCCAAGACAGATACAGATACCTCAGACAGTTGCAAGGGCGTGAAGTCTTGTGTGAGACCAATAAAAAAGTCATTGATGTTTTCGCACAAAGTGTCAACAGAGTCTACAACGTTACCATCAATCAGCCGGTTAAACCAATGATAGGGATCGTCACACATGCCGGCAATGTTCTCAATTAACACTTAACTTAAGATCCGTAGAATGACTTCTTTGCTGTAGCTATAGYTCTTTGCACCTTGTTYCGCCATAGTTCAAAACAAGACGAATCTTTGCCGCTCCGCGCCAGAGCACGTTGCCTACGAGCGATAAGTGACTCAATCCGTTGCGAAATCCAAGGCTTGTCGGTGGAGTGCACGCGGTAGGACCTCAAGGGGAGCAGGCGATCAACCGCATTAGACAGGGTCTTGGAGAAAAGTTCATACTTCTCATGGCAGCCCTCAAGTGCGAACACCTCCAAGAAAAAGATGTGATCCATCGCCCGAAACTGCGAAGGCAGCTGTCACGTGKGTCACGCCTTATAACTGTGCGTTTACCAGGCTTCAGGATTGTAGGTGATTRTTGAAGAAGTAGGGAATAATGATCACTACGCCCAATCTTGGGGAGCTGCACAGGCGTGTTGAGACTTTTTGGAAGGTTAGTCAKAATCCAATCCAGGATCCCAGTATCCCGTGTTAAGACTTTAACAGTCTCCGTTAAACCGGAATGAGGGGAACCGTAGACAAGAAGTGTGCGATCAAAGAAATACAGGTCAGAAAATTAGTGCCTAATGCATATTGTTGTCCGCCAAATGTAGACCAGGCTACACTTATGTTCAAATTTAGGTTCACCGTGGTTTAAGTTTGGTCAAGTATTATCACCTGGTGACTTATTGTTGAAGTCGATGATGATCTATGCATTTATATTGATGAAGTATTGTTGACATTCATTGTTATTTATTGAAACTGTTTGCACCTGGCGCGTGGTTTATCGTTGATTCCTGCCATCTTTAAAAGTCAAACGTCGTCAAAGTCCGTGCGCGTGCAAAATGTCACAAGCGGAAAAACTGAAAGAGTCGCGTTTCATTTATTCCCAAGACCTGAAGATGAAATTCAGCAATTATTAGAGAACTATGATTATGATGACAATGAGAATACAGTCAACTCTCCCGTAAGCGACCACCTCGGGATCAGGAAAAAGTGGTCGTTTACGAAAGATGCTTACGAGAACGTTAGCACAGGAAAYCCAAACAATGATAATCACAACACATGATGCCCAAATATTAAAAAAAACACGTTGTTCGTGTACATGCATCAGTACTTTCGGAGAACAATGCRTCCGCCATCTTGAAATGTGAGACCGGAATCACTATCATATGTTGTGCCTTAGAACACATTTCGTAGTTGCTGAGAAGTTTTTAAATCCTTTAGGAGTTATAATTTAGTGATTCGAAAAGTGGGACGGCGGACGCATTGTTCTCCGAAAGAACGGATGCATGCATTTCAGTGAATAAAATCTTTGAACAATTATACTGCTTCCATGCCATTCCTCAAATTCTCGAAGTTGATTTTACTTTCCTAATTCTATTGTTTTCTATGGTATAACTAACACTATAATGTATTTGATACTAAATAGTACGCTTTTACGATTTGTACTCTATTARAGAAACCGGAAATGTAATTTGTGTAAGCTTTGGAAGTAAATTAAACACATGCCATTATTGCGTCAGTCRTGGGTGGTCGCTTACGGGAGAGGAAAAACAATGAAAAATTCTACARTTTCAATCCCAAAGGTGGTGRCGGTCGYCTACAAAAGTGGTCGCCTACGAGAGAGTTTTTTACAGAGTGTATATGGGAAACAAAACGGRRAATTTAAAAGATGGTCGCTTATGGGAGATGGTCGCTTACGAGAGTGGTCGTTCAAAGAGAGTTAACTGTATTGACTATTTAAAGAAAAAACAATAAGAGTACCAAATAACCYTGAATAMCTTTTATCGAGTAAACGCAAATATCGCACAATGATCAAACGCAGACGGAAAGRAAAAAGGCGAAGCTGAGAGGGTGTGTGAAGCTGCATAAAAAAAAAGAAATTTGACCTYGACGGTAGAATTAAAGCGYTTTTTTCGTTACAACTGTCAGCTAACYCTGTCATCCATCGGATACCTAGATGAAGTTAAGAGCGCAGATAATTTATGGAACCGCAATTAAAGACTCMACAAAAGGACAGACGTCCGACAAACCCAGTCAAGATGCAAGCGTTTGCAGTCCAAGCTCAGCAAAGTCATCGAAGTGACACTTCATGTCAAATRCCTAACAGGAAAACATGTGCACATTGTAGCAGCAACGAACATYTCTTAACCGATTGTGAAAAAATTACCAAAAAGGCCTATGAAGGCAAGGTAGAGTTTCTTAAGAAGAATACGCTATGCTTCAACTGTTTTAAAGGATGTTTTTAAAGATGCAACAGAAAGCGTCATACTACAATACACCCTCCTGCACCTCAAACCTGTGAACAAGATAAACCTAAAGCTCAAGAAACAAAGAAGGAAGATACAGTTAGTCCCAACGTCGTACCTACAATTGACAAGAAAGTCTGTTTACCCATAGTGCCAGTAAGAGTATGTGGGAAGGACGGTGTCTCCATTACTACATATGCATTGTTAGATAAAGGATCAGACGCGTCGGTATGTGAAGCCGCTCTTGTCGAATCACTGGGATTGCAGGGAGAAGTCCATGAATACACTATAAATACACTCGAGAAAAAGTCAAGCCACAAGAAAGGACAGATAGTCTCGATGACGATTAAGCCTATTGATAACGAAGAAGTCGTTGAGTTACCTCCAGTAATAACAGTTCACAGGATAAATGTCTCCGAAAGCTGCATAGCAAAGCCAGAAGACATAAAGAAATGGCACCATTTGAAGGATATCAAATTAAGAGAATTTAGAGGTGATGCATCTTTTTTGTTTTGGAAATGACGTGCCTGAAGTATTCTGGGTAGAAGAAGAGCGACGAGGCAAGTAAAAAGAGCCTTACGCAGTCAAGTCAATCCTTGGATGGACAATACAWGGTCCTATCAACMACGCCATAAAGGARAAGGTGAATATCAACCTGATTAGTACTGACGGTGACAGTGTAGATCCTATCTTGGAGCAACTAAAGAAATTCTGGAATGTCAAWGAAGACTCAAGCARCAAGACTGGACTTGGAATGTCTATGGAAGACAAAGAAGCCCTGAAGAAGATGGAGTCGTCCGTGAAACAAGTGAATGGACATTACCAGCTATCCCTAGACGAAGACCTTTCTTGGAGTTATATGGGATGTAAATGCAGAYAAGTTGAGACTGAAAACAGAGATTCAAGGAAAACCATTTACTAGAAGAGGAATTCTATCGGTAACCAGCTCACTGTATGACCCTCTGGGAATGGCTGRCCCGTTCRTCTTGCCTGCCAAGAAAGTTATTCAAGACCTATGCCGAGATCAATACACTTGGGGCGAGCCTATACCAGAGGCTCAGGCGCAGAGATGGCAGCAGTGGCAGCATCGACATGTGTCAAACCTCCAGGGTTGCGAGATTACAAGTGCTGAAATCCATACCTTTACAGATGCATCAGAAGTAGGTTATGGTGCTGTGTCATATCTACGACTCGCCAACGCAGAAGACGAAATTCATTGTACCTTCCTAGCTGCAAGATCACGACTTGCTCCATTAAAAACAACTTCAATACCAAGATTGGAACTCTCAGCTGCAGTGCTTGGAGTTGAGTTAGCTAACAAGATAAAGGATGAAATAGAGCTAAGGATTGACACCTTTGTATACTGGACAGACTCARCTTCAGTCTTACAGTACATTAATAGCCAAAGTAGAAGATTCAAAGTGTATGTTACAAACCGTATCTCTGCTATTCACAAGGGGACAAGATCCTAATCATTGGTTTTATTTAAGATCGGCTGACAATCCTGCAGACGACGCTTCGAGAGGAATGATCACAAGTCRAGAGATGATAACAAAGGAGAGATGGTTGAAAGGCCCATAATTCTTGAAAGAAACCAAAGACAAGTGGCCTCTTCAGCAAAGCTGCAGTTTACCAAAGATTGACAACAACGATGTAAATTT